TTGAGATATCAAAAAAGTACTCCAGAGTGTTGTTCAGCATGGGGGTGAGTAGAAAATGAAGGCTAATCATGTTTTGGGTGTACTATTCCTTTAAGCAGAGATGCTCAGACTTCCTGATCCACACACCTCCTCCAGCTGAGACACCAGGCCAGCTCAGAGACATAGTCCCTCCAGCGTTTCCTGGTCCTTCCACCAGGCCTCCTCCCAATGGGACATGCCTGGAACACCTCCCGAAGGAGGCAACCAGGAGGCATGAGGAACAGATGCCAGAGCCTCAGCTGGCTCATTTCAACGTGGAGGAGCAACAACTCTACTCCGAGCTCCTCCCGGGTAACTGATCTCCTCACCCCATCTGGAAGGGTGCGCCCAGCCGCTTGTATTCACCATCTTGTCCTTTGGGTCACTCTCTTTTCCCAGATCTCATGACCATAGGTTAGGGTGAGAATGTAGATCTATCGGTAAATCAAGAGCTTTGCCCCCCGACTCGGCTCCCTCTTCACCACGACGGTCCGATACAACGACTGCATCACTGCTTACGCCGCACCATCCGTCTATCGATCTCAAGTTCCATCCGACCCTCACTCTTCAACAAAACCCCGAGATACTCCTGCTCCTCCACTTGAGACAAGGACTCTCCACCGACTTGAAGAGGGTAGTCCACCTCCAGAGGAGAACCATGGCCTCGGATTTGCAGGCTCAAATTATAAGTTATCAGTTATTGGACAAAATGCTCAAAAGGGAACACGAGTCAAAAAAGGTTGGGAACTGCTGCTCTAAGCGCACCTGCACAGAACATGTTGTTGGTGATCCTGATGGCCGTTGACTTGCGGCAGGTGTCCTGGTCCACTATGGGGAGGTGGATCTGCTGGAGGACTGCAGGGAGGTTCCTGGCTGCTGGGTTCCAGGTCTCCTGCAGGTTCCCCCATCCGGTCACTCTGCCTTTGTATCCTGCACTCATTAATCTGCAGGGAGGGATAAAAAACCTTAAAATGTTTGGAGCAGTTCTGTCTGAGGTCTTCCAAGACCATAGACCTCATGTCTGGGAGGTGGGGCTGCTTACGCTCTGGCCACCTCCTTGCTGGGCAGGCAGATGGGATGGATCTCATCGGAGAAGGTGATGGGTCGCATCAGGTGCAGCAATGCGATGTCCCGGTTCAGGTTCTCCTTCCAGTTGTACTTGGGATGGACAATGATTTCATCGATGGACACGATCTTCTCGATTCCTCGCTCAAACCTGGAGGAAAAATGAGGTTAACTCCTTCCACGCATCAGGATTGTGGGGGAACCGTTCTCTGCCTGTTCAGAGCTCTACAACTTGTTCAACTACATTCTGACCCAGTTCTGGTTGCCTGTAGAATAAAGTCCAACATTAAGATCTGGTTCTTAATGTTTACAACTATTTTGGATGCTAATGAAGAGGAGCAGGTGCGGGAAGAAAGCAGGCAGGTGGGCTCACTTTGCTCTGTTGTGCTTCCCCAGTCGGACCAGGATGTCTCTGGTGGTGAAGTTCTTGTTCCAGGGCGGGTAGAGGATGCAGTGGGCAGCAGTCAGGATCCACTGGTTGCTGATCAGACTGGCTCCACACAGCAGCTCCTGAGGGCTGCGCTTGTACAGCATCACCTGCCTGCAAGCAACGACAGCTGGACGTGACTCCCTGGGCAGGATGGTGCCTTCATTTCACCAAGAGGGTGCAGGTGTGGTTACCATGGTGCTGAGGCCACCTCGGCGTCGTTTCCCCCAACGATCCGTTGCTCCTTGTAGGTCTCCAGAAGCTCCTTCTCGTTCTTGTCCTCTTGGCTCTTCTGCTCAAACAAGGGGCGGAGCCCACAGACTGAAACACAGACCAGTCAGATATGAGCTAACCAGTTAACACACCAGCCCCCCCATTTAAACCCAACAATTAGACACCAATGAAAGCATCAGACGGCTGGTCACCCACAGATTCCAAGTGGGAAACCAGTACAGGTCCGTCCTAGAGGTCCGCTGGAGTCTCCTTTTCCCCATCAGTGCTGAGGAAGACCTGGAGTACCGTTTCCACAGCGAGGCTCCTCCTGAACACTGAAGGCCTCCAACTTGTTCGCCTCTACTGATCCAAAAACATTCTGCTGTGGTCAGCTTACAGCTACGCCAAAGACCAGAGAGGTTCTGAGGACCATTCTGGGTAACAATCTCAGCCTAATGTCTGCAGGGTCGAGTGTATCGTATACCCAACCACAGGGGAGCATGGCAGCGGCCTAGTGCTGCTCTGGGCTGCTTTGCTTCCTCTAGTATGGGACATCTCTGGCTCTTGGAGGACAGGAGAGACTCGAGCAGGAATCAGAGAAGGATCTTCTGTGAGGGTGCTGGAGCTTTGAGGTCATTGGAGCCATTGAGTCCCAGAATAACCCAAAGTACACCAAGACATCTGGTAGATACAAGCGTGGTCAAACAGTTCCAACAACATCTCCAGAACCTGGATCAACTGGGGATCCTTAGTCAGGATTGACCGAACCCAGAGAACAACTAAAACACACAGGGTTCCAATCAAGCAACCCTCGAGAAACCTGACGTCTGAATCTGAAGAGTTTTTACTCGCTGCTAGTGGCTGGTTGCTACATTTAGCAACAAACACAGTTTCTATCGGCTAAAAAATCCTTTAGCTGCAGTTCTAAAGATAATGTTCAAGAAAAGTCAGTTGCTGATTAGACTGGTCAACCCTTTACTTGGTACCTTTGTGTTATCTTGGTTTCTATGTCACAGTTGAACCAACTAAAGTCAGTCAAGTAAACGAATCAACTGTCGGTATAATCGGTTGGCTAGCCAACCAGTTTCTTCCATTTCATCTAGTCAAGCTGACAAGAAACGACTGGTTACCTTCATGATAAAACAGCCACCAGTTCACCTCAACTGCTTTGTTCATTGGTAAATCCATCATCTTCTTGACTAGACCTCAGACAGAAGTTCTGGAGGTGTCTCCGCCGTGGGGTCACCTGACTGACTCACCGCTCTCTCCTTCACCGAAGGTGCTTGGGCTGAAGAAGAGTTTCTTTTCAGGGCCCAGGACGGTTCGCTCTGCTCCCTTATCGTCCATTATCTCCTCTCCACCAATCAGGGGATCGTCTGAGGCACACAGGTAGGTGGGGACAGGTGATGAGAGCCGGGCAGACCCGTGTGCTGATGTCATCATGGATCATGGGTTTCTACTCACCGCACAACTCCAGGTCACAGTAGTCAACGGTGATGTTTCCTGAAACCTCAACGTAACACCAGGGTCCCTCTGGGTCATTGTCGGGGTTTCTGCACCTGTTCCCCTGCAGCTCCACCTCTGGGATGAACTCCTTGTCTCTGCTGCGGGCCACGGCCTCTGGGGATGACCATGGGAGGCATGTGTGGCCCCCCAATGTCACACTGAGGTCCCCGATGTAGTCGATGCCGTTATTTGGTAAACACCCCATGGCTCTGACTGGTTCTGGTGCTTCGGTCGTCGGGACAAATATCTCGCCTGGTGAAAAAACACAGATATACCCAACCTGTACTTGAAGAACTTGGAGCTCCTGAAGCAGCAGGAGATGCACGCTTTCAGGTGGACACTCACCACATTTAGGTACTATGCAGGACTCTTTCTGGACGGTTGGGTCTGTGGTGAAACACCACGGTCCTTCTGGCCGGTTGTCAGGGTTCCTGCAGAAGTTCTCCTTCAGGATGCTGTCTGGCTCAGAGGCATTATACTCCCTGCAGACAGGTGGTTACGTCAGGCAGGTGGTTGGATGTGAGAACTTATTCATGCTAGTCACCTTTAATTGGTCGGTTTAACCTCCTGCTGACTGCAATTGGACGTTTATTTTAGCACCGAGTTCAGGGGAGTAGTCAGTCGATGAAGTCTGTGTAATGTTGCAGGTTGACTAGCTTGATTTTAGTTGTTTTTTGAAGTCCTAAGTACATTCTTATATCTGTATTTTGTTTGGATCGTTAAGCTGGGTTTTCACTGTACGATTTTTTTCAGTTGTTGCTGTTGCTGTTTGATGAAACCGCAGGGTTTAAAAGTTCCCAGCTCACCATGTTTGTTCTCCTGCTTTTTTTGGGGAACGTACCTGAAGATGGGATGAGGGAACCTGCGGTTCCAGTGCTGACATTTTTTGCCTGATTTGGTGATGTTGATGTTTCCTTCATAGCTCAGTCCGCCACCAGAGATGCACTGACCTGGACACAGCAGAAGCCAGAGTTACACGGGGCCCGGTCCCCTGCTGCGACCTCCAGGGATCTGGTTCCTACCTTCGATGCATTGCCTGATGATATTGATCTTTTCTTGAGTCCTTTGCATGGTGGTTCCGTCACAGTCTGTTAAAGACAAACAGACGCAGCAGCTGCTTGTTTGTGAGCTGAACTTCTGGACTTTGCTCCTGTTTGCTCTGCAGCCCTGAATAAACTTTAATAGCTGCACAAATAAGACTGAACCCAGCTGGACTCAATCAGAGCTGAGAGCAGATCAGCTCAGGAGCAAATGGACCATCAGAACCACCAGGACCATCGGAACCATGAGGACCATTAGAACAATTAGAACCATCGGAACCATTAGAACCATCGGAACTATCAGGACCATCGGAACCATTAAAACCATCGGAACCATTAGAACCACTGGAACCATCAGAACCATCAAGCTATGGGTTCCTTTCAGTTAAAGAAATGTCAACAATCATTTTTGCTCCATAAAACCTCATCATCTTCATCACTATCATCATCAGCATCACTATCATCACCATCACTATCATTATCATCATCATGATCTTCATCATCATCACTATCAGCATCACTATCATCACCATCACTATCATTATCATCATCATGATCTTCATCATCATCACTATCATCATCACTATCATCACCATCACTATCATTATCACTATCATCACAATCACTATCATCTTCACCATCATCATCATTATCATCATCACAGTCATCATCATCATCACCATAATTATTTTCATCACCATCTGATCTGTTAAAGAAGAGCGCCCGGGCGGCACCTACCCAGATACCTGGTCCAGAACTTTTCCTGCGGAGATAAAGAGTAAATGTGGGTTTGATGATGGGACCTCGGAGCGCTCAGAGCTAACGGGGGGTGGGGGTAATTGGGGTGTTACCGTTTTAGCATTATGCTCAAACACCTCTCTGGCTTCTTCATGGTCACAGATCTCCTCCACGCACTCCCTCTCCAGGTTCCCTGAGGAGGAACAAACATGAGGAGCAGGAACCTGACCTTCCCTATTCTTAGTTTTCACGTCTTCAAACTAAAATGTACGACGGAGTATTAATGCCAGGCCAGAGATTTTATTTTCTTCTCTTTTGAGTATAAAGTCGTAATATTATGAGAATAAAGTCACAGGATTACAAGAATAAAGTCGCAACGAAAATAGTCATA